GGGGGGGGGCCCCAACCTTCCTTTGGGGGAAAATTTTTAAAACCCCAATAAAAAAAAATAAAAATTTTTTCTTTTAAATATTAATTTTTTAAAAAAAATTTTAAAGGAAACCCCCAAGGGGGAAAAAAATTAAATAAAAAAAAAATTAAAACCTTTTTAAAAAAAAAAAAAAAATGCCCATCGTGGTGCCGACGACCATTCTAATACACTTGCAGTCAACCTCCACTTCCCTTTAAAATGTAATGAACTCACCCTTCGTACTCCCGCCGTTGCAGTCTAAAATAACTGAAACCTTTGCCTCAAAGGGGCAGAAGGTCCCCCCTTAGCATGGCATTCTCACCCGCCCCCAAAGGGAGACTCCCTCGTTTTTCTTATTCTCTTTTTTTCCACATCCCCCCCTTCGGGGGTCCCTCTTCGCACCTCCTCTGTTTTTTTACCCCTCCCAACCCCACTAGGGGCATCAATCCTTTTGCTGTCCTTGGCTCTGACTCCCGACACAACTCAGTCTTTTCCACATCTTCGCCCCTTTCCCCTCAAAACCCCCATATCACAAGAACCTCGTACGACCCCTAATACCAATCGCCCCTCTACTTCCAAAGTCCAAAAATCCACATTGCTCAAATCTTTTTTTGCCCCTTCCTTCCCTTCTTCCCCACCAACTTTCCCTTTTCCTCCTGACCTATTTCTTCCCCCTCTCTCTGGCCTATTCAAGGTGGAGATTCACCCCCTTCCCCCTCGTACTATGCCTTCCCCCCCCGCCCCCTCCCAGTTTTCCCCTCTTTTTCCATCCCGGGTTTTTGCCTCTTCTGCCCCCCCCCACACTTCACCCCAGCCCCCTTAACTCTTCCCCCCCCCCTCTACTTTGGTACAGCCATTACGTCCCAATCTTACTCACCCTCCTCCTTCTATCTCCAATAGGTCTCCCTACATCTTGAATTCTAAACACTTGAAGCGATTTAGAATATTTTGCAGAGACAAACCCTCAAGGGACACTGATTCACTTCCTGTTTTTTCTCTTCCCTCTCCCCCATTTTCACAACCCCATTCTTCGCAACGCTCCTTTTCCTTCGCATTTGAACGTTTTCCAATCACCACACATTGATTTTTTCTAACCCCCCTAGCCCGTGGGTGCCTTTCCCTACAGATTCCGGATTTTCTTCTCCCATCATGGCCTTTTACAGTGGTACCGCGGCTCGGGGGTAATGGGGGTGAGCTTCAATGTTGCTTTCCAGGTTTTCCCCCTGGGTGCTTGCTTACAAAACCCAAAAATTACACCGGCTTTTTTTCCACCTTCTCAGCTAAAATTTATTGTATTTTTGGGATCCTTTCTCAATGGGACCTTTAAAGAAAGTGCCCTTTTCTACGCAAGAATTTCGACTGTAACTTTTGTCCATACCTCGCTGCATTACACGCCCCCTATCCACTTAAATAAGGGGTTTTACAATATGTTTTTTTAACTCTCCCTCCGAGCATTTTCTATCCCAACTTGCCCTTTTTGTTTCATCCTTACCACCCCATTTCTGTTTTTGGGTGATTTTAATCCCCCACCATTTCCTCGGGGGGGTCTTTTTTGCGACTCTGTGGCATCCATTGAGGCTTTTCCGCCTCTCACCCCCTCCAGTTTTTTAAAACGGGGTTTTCCCACCCATTTTGATCCCGCACTCAACTCTCCTTTTCGACATCAGTCCCGCTCTTCCTCCACTGCACTAACTTCACCCGGTCTGTTCTTCCGGGCTTACATGACAGGGGTCATTTTCTGATCATTCTTACTTCTCCTTCCTATTCACCCCTTTCCGTACCCTCGCTGGCAATTTGATCGGGGAAATTGGGGTTTTACTCACACCTCACTGCTTTAGTGAGGTTTTTTTCTTTATCCCCCATTGGACTCCTACACATCTTCTCGACGTCATTTATACCGCAGCTTCTCTTCTATTCCCCAAACCCGGCACATTCTCAAAGTGCTGCCTTGGTGGGCTCCCCGCTTGTGCTCGTGCATACGTTTAAACGTGCTGCATGGGCAGGTACCGGACAATAGAACCGCTGAGAACTTCTTGATTTAAGCAAAGCGGCATCGCTCGCCTGTCATCCGGAAGCTAAACGCACTTGTTGGCGGACATGTTTCCACCATCACCTCTGCTTCTTCTATGATCAGTCTGGGAAAAAAAGGGGGAAAATTTAGTGGAAAAACTCTCCTGACCCGGGTCCTGTTCTACGGTCGCTGGTGTTGATGTAGCAAAACCCCCTTTGCGTTGCCATTTAACTTGGCACACATCTGGTCTGGGATTTCCCGGGGCTCCCTCTGTGCCCCCGTTTCTTTCCTCAAATCGCCAGAGAGTTTACCCTTGGACTTTTTTTCTCTCAGAGAAGAACAGTATAATGTGCCTTTTACACTTCAAGAACTGAGGCAACGCTCTCAGCTTTCATCACGCAGCTGGCCGAAGACTTCATATTTTTATTTGCAACTTTACATCTCACCCTTGTAGTTTTACACCCTTCAATCTTTTTTGGGCACAAGGGGTTCTTCCCCAGCTGTGGAAATCTGCCTTGTTCTCCCCTTTTCCGCAAACCGGTACTACAGGCATGATGCCTCCCCCCATCGCCCCATGCTCTTACAGTGCAGTTTCAAATGATGGAAAGTCTCGTAAATCGACGTTTAATGTGGATTTAGAGACACACAACATCCTCCCTAGTCAATAGGCTTTCGTAAGGGGCGTTCTACCTAGACCCCTCACGCTTTATCATAGTTCTAATGCCCCTTTCGAAAAATCCCTTATTGCCATATTTTTTGACCTTTAGAAGGCATACGACACAACTTGGAGGGATAATTTTTGGCCCAGGCCCATTCCTTAGGCCCCCAGGCAATCTACCATCCTTCTTAAAAACTTTTTAAATGAAGACAAAAATTTTTCCCCCCGGGTTTAGTCAAAAATGTTCTTTCCCCGACTTCGTCCCAAACTAAAGGTGTCCCTCAGGGAAATTTTCAAGCACAACACTTTTTTCTCCCTTAAATGATTTGGCCTCAATTCTCCACCCAATATTTTTTCATCACTCATGTTGATGACTTCGCTATTGCTTTTGAGCGCTGACTGTCATCTATTTAGTTTCTCCTCCAGCAATGGTCGACCGTTTTTTCCACTTGGGCCACCACGCTGGTTTAAATCTCAATACCAAAAAATCACCAAAATTTCTTTCACTAGACGCCTGTTATCTCCCCCATCATCCTTTGTATCTCTATGCTCCCGTTCCCCCCCAACGGATACAGTCAGGTTTCTAGGCCCCTTTTCTTTGACCGTCGTTATCCTGGAAACCTCACATTTCCTCTCTGAACAACTTGTCACAGCCGGCTAAACCTTCTTAAACCCTTGCTCATTTTCTGGGACTGACGCGAACTCTGCTTCGCCTACATTTAGCCCTCGTTTTAAATCGAAACCGATTATGGGGACCAATTTATTCCGGCCTCTCCTACTCTCTCTCTAGCCTTAACTCATCCCCTCACCAAAGGGTTACGTTTGTGCCTTTTTCTTTTCGCTTTCCCCTGTTGAAGCCTCTATACAGAAGCAAAAGTTCCATCCCGTCTGATCGCCGTGTGCCCTTTTCCCGCTACTAGAACGCCTCACGATCTACACAATCCTTTTCATTTAAAAATGGGCACCGATTTAGTAGACTTCTTTATTCGTTTGCCCCCCTGTTTCTCCGTCCCCTTTTCTCTTCGCCTACATTTACTCCTTTTCTTCCCTTCATTACCCCTTTTTTTTGTTCATGAGCATCTCACTTTTTTCCCACCCCCCCCTGGGGAATTCCAGGGTCGGGGCGTTTTTTCTCACCCCTTGCTCGAAAAACTCAACTGCCTACGGGGCTTCCCGTCTCTTTTTCTTTTCACTTCCACTCCCATTCTCATGCCACCGCTGTGTACACAGATGGCTCTAAGTCTTCAGACGGCGTCGGGTTCGCAGCAGTTTTTCCGGACAGCGTCGTGCGGGGGGCATTTTTTCTACTTCACAGCATTTTTACGCGAACGTATGCCATTTTGCAGCCCTTATTCGTATCGATCTTCCTGTGCATCATTTGTATATCTCAGACTCCCCCTTAGTGCTCTACAGGCTATCAAAATTGATCATCTCACCCCTAGTTCCCGTACCCAAATTTGGGTACCCGACAGGGCAAGAACAGGCAGACCTGCTGGGGGCGGTCAGCAGTACATGCCTACCAATTTCCTAACAAGGGTTCCATTTTCGGGACTTTTTTCTGCAAAACTAACCCCTTCGAACCGGGGCCCCCAAAATTGGTCAACTCTGCTCGGGAACAAACTTCATTCTATTAAAAACCCAGCATAGGTTACGGCCTCTTTTTTGTCTGAGTGCCGAGGTTGGGAGACCACTCTCTCCCGCCTTCGCATTGGTCACACTCGTCTTTCTCATGGGGGATCCATGGGAGGGACCCTTTCCCTCGGACAGTGTCAAGTTTCCCGTATCGATTAGCCAATTTTGTTAACTGCCCTCCTATCAACGAGCAGCAGAATTTTCCTCCAACGTGTCTCGTTCTACTACTCTCTTTTTACCTTCCCTTTTTGCTGAGGACCCTCCTTTAATCCTGACTCTCTCATTGACTTCTTGACAACGACTATTTACTCCCCCAAAATCTGATGATACTTTTTGCATCCCCCAGCCCTTTCTATTCAGTCCTTTCTGCCCTTTACCCTTTCACCACCCCCACCCGGGTTTACCTAACCTATACTCATCCATCTCCCCTTTTGCCCCCTGATGGCCCCCGCTTCCTTTCCTGCCCTGCAGCACTGTGTAGTCCTTGGGCTTAGCGCTTTTTTTTGATTATAAAAATAAAATCTTTTTACAATAATGATCTTACTGTTTTGTTACGAAAACCTTTTAAGGGTGATGCCTTTATGCGGTGAAAAACTCTTCCCAAGGAATTATTTCCCTTCCTTTCCCGGGTCAAGTAGATTATCTCCAATTCCCCCGGGCTGTATGACCTTCACAGTTTAGCACTTCACCATGAATTTAATAATTGGACTGTTCAATGATATGCAATTTGCTTATTTCACTGGCTGTTATTTCTTCTTGCAATTATCTTCTCTTTCTAATGTGCCACCTATCATGTCTTGAAACTATTAATTACTCAAACTTATAATTACAATAAACCCTCTTTTAAAGTGACACTGCATAGTAAGAGTTGGTGTTGATACAATAGAGAAAGTGCATCTAAAATTGCATGCCTGGTAAAAGCCTAAGCATAAAAGCTGCCCACGCTGTCTACAGCTTCTTGATGAGAGCATCGTTTACCTTTGTTTGTCAAATTATTTTGGATGCTTTCTTTGGTTTTACCCCTCAGTAGGTGTACAGGAAGTTGTGGCTCTGGGAAGAACTGGGAGATGGATAGGTTTTGAAGATATGTATGAATAAGACAAAGGAACTGTTAGAAGAGGATAACAAAGAATCAAACTGCAGAAGAAATGTTGGAGGAGCTCATTTTCCAGTAAGGAGAAATAGAGAGAGAGAGAGAGAGAGAGAGAGAGAGCGAGCGAGCGAGCGAGCGAGCACAAGAGATTATAAGAAAAGAATGAGGTAAAAGAACCTGTAGATAACAGGCAACACTGCAACAGTCACATAAACAATTTCATGATGATTAATCAAGACACGTGCAACAGTTGGGTATCTTTATTGTTGAAATGTTTTGCTTACACAGTAAGCTTCATCAGTTGAGTACAGAAGCAGCAGGTGAAGTAGTGAAATGAGGATGATGTAATCAGTCCATCAAGCTTGGAGAAATAGCATTTGATGTCAGTCCCTCAGCCTGGAAAAGAGTTCATTTCCATGGTCTTGAATGATATGAAGCTTAAACATTCTCATGCTTCAGCTTCATATTCCAGATCATGGAGCAAGATTCTTCTAGAAGGTTGCCAGTCCTTGTGGCTTAGCGCTTCTTTTTTTATTATAATAATAATAATTCTAGAAGGTTGATTGACTGATTACATCTTCATTTCACATCAACCTGTCAGTATTTTATACAATTTCAACAAAACAGTTCCATGTTATTGGTAAAGTTACTTTATTTTTTTTTTTTTTTACTTCTAGAAGAACTGTTCTGCAGTAGTCTACAGCAGTTGATCATGCCTTATCAATTGTATAAAGTATTGCCAGGGAAAACAAGCCAGAGATGCATTACAGAATACATGAACACTTCAAAATAACCATTAATTACTGACAACTCTGCATGTATATCAACAAGAACCATAGCCATCTTAACACATCAACCCTCTCCACACTTTCATGTTAAGAAGCAGTAATAACTAGAATATAAGGTAAGATAAACTGTAGTACAGTAATTTATACAACTGTAGTAGAATATTTAAAAAGTTTGTCAAATTTGGAGGTTTCTGGAAAATAACCCTATTTTTCCCATATGTTCTTTACATACTGCTAATTTGATAGGTACGTATAAGGAAACATGCACAACTAATGTAGCATATTACTGTGGCAATGTTTTGCTCTCCAGGAACTTTGTCAAGCTGCTTGACAAAGCAAAATGTTGCCACAATAGAATGCTGGTTGCATGTGTCTTTTCACCTATCATTGTTGGTAATTTTTACCCTTGTTACCCCTTACTGGTCATTTCCCTAAAGTGCCAATTTTCTGTAATGCATCTCCCAGTATTATGAGAGGGTTTATTGTACTAACCATTTGATTTATATCTATTTGCTACACAAGGTAATAAAATATATATAATGTGTTTATAGTATATATATATTGTGCTTTTTAGCCAGAATGTGCAGACTTGGCTTATTATGTAAGATTTGTTTTGCCAAACTGCGTTAATTTTTTGTTACAGTAAATGCAAAAAAATCGATATGAGCATCACAAAATTAATATACTGTATTTTGTTTTTGTTAAATTTAGGCCAAGCTAAGATAGGTTTGTTAGGATTAGCTTAAATTATATTATGTATATTAATTTCAGTAAGATTAGGTGAGGTTGCTAATCAGTTTTAACAAAACCTAAAACAAAAATTTATACTGTTAATTTACAGAAATATATATACACAGTATTGTACACTGTATAAATAAAGGCATAGCATAATTTCTTTTTAAGAGTATATTTAGAGCAGTTTGGCTTGTTTGACTAAACAATATGACTTACTGTACATATGTGCATACTTATGTGTATACATCTTTAAATAATGTATCATTCAAATAAAATCTTTGCTTGTATTTTTAATTATTTCCTTTCCCTTTAATTTCATGTTTAATTTGTGCAGGTTGAAGTTCCCAGTACAGTGGACCCCCGCTTAACGAACTTTTTTCATTCCAGTAGTATGTTCAGGTGCCAGTACTGACCGAATTTTTCCCCATAAGGAATATTGTGAAGTAGATTAGTCCATTTCAGACCCCTAAACATACACGTACAAACGCACTTACATAATTGGTCGCATTTGGAGGTGATCGTTAAGCGGGGGTCCACTGTACTTGCTAAAAATGTATTTATTTGATATGCAGTGCTGCTGTTTTTTTTTTTAATGTATTTCTGTCCTTTTGAAATTCTTTTCCTTCAGTGCTTCGTAGCAAATCTAATAATAGG